CCCCAAAACCCCAAAACCCCAAAACCCCAAAACCCCAAAACCCCATCATTAGACATTCATATAGAAAATTCGATATTATCAGTTTGAAAGAGATGCCTTATTATTATAGCCATCTCGTACGTTTGCCTTCTACCCACTCTCCTTCTCTAGTCTTTCCATCAGAGCCTTCAAAAGTACCCTTTCCATGTTGCTTGCCATTTCTCCACTCTCCATCGTAGACTCTATTATCAGCCCACTGGAATCTACCTTTTCCATGTCTCTTATCATCTTCAAATCCTCCTTCATAACATTTGCCATCTTTCCATTCTAGCTTGCCTTCTCCACTCATTTTATTATTTATCCAAGAACCGTTATATACTTTCCCATCAGTCCATTCATATCTTCCTGTTCCATTAATCTCATTATTCTTGAATTCCCCTTTATAAACAGAATTATCAGCAAAGTAAAGGGTTCCTTTGCCTTCTTTCTTTCCATCTGCATAGTTTCCTTCATATCTGGCACCATCAGGCCAGGTTTCGACTCCTTTACCATGTTGTTTGTCATTCTCCCAGTCTCCTTCATAAGTAGCACCATTAGAGTGAATGTATTTGCCTTTTCCATGAGCTTTATCGTTTTTCCACTCACCTTCGTAGATATCCCCGTCGGCATGATACAGTTTACCGTAACCGTGAGCTTGGTCATCGAGCCATGTACCTTCGTACCTTGAGCCGTCCTTCCAGACTTGGACTCCTTCTCCGTCTCGTTTGGTGCCGATCCATTCTCCAGTGTAATCAGCACCAGATTTCAATGTTTGGGTTTCACGTTTCTCCCTCTTAATCTTTTTAGACTTGCTTTCTTTCTCATATTCCTCTACAAATTGTCCTTTAAGAGACTTAGAGGTTGTGCTAACAGAAGCTCCTTTGCCTGAGATTGGTTTCTTTTTTGATTTATAACCAGCTTTGCCGGTTGTAGTCATATCGGAGACCTCATGTTTCTCCTCACCAGGGCAGCATACGCTTCCTCAATTCCCCATTTTATTAAAATTTATTTATTCTAATGTTATTTAAACGGTCTGGGGTTTTGGGGTTTTGGGGTTTTGGGGTTTTGGGGTTTTGGGGTTTTGGGGTTTTGGGG